GCTCGGAGTCTCCACGTCTCCTGTAGCTGGTCCACACACTGCTGTGGACCCGGAGTTCCCCGTCACCGTGGGAGTGAGGATGGCCCGACTGTCCAACTCCTGATCAAGTAGCAGAATGGAAAATGCAGTGTATCTTTTCCTGAGTTTGGTTGGAGACAGCAAGAGCGAGCAGAATGGGAGCGAGGAAGAGTGCTTGCTGCATTAGCATGAGCACCGAGGAGGATCTGAGTTCAAATCCCAGCTTCAGCATAAAAAAGCCCTGGGTGCCACATGCAAGCTGGGAAGCCCAGTGCAGTAGGGTAGAGCAGAGATAGGAAGGTCACTGGGGCTTGCTGCTTGTCAGCAGAACTGCAGACTCCATGAGAGACTTTGTCACAGAATCAGGTGGCGTGATAAAGCAAGGGTTCATGCATACACTACACACATACACACACACACACGCACATACATACACACGCACATACACACACACAGAAAAACATAACAGTCGGGGGAAAAGCATCTGTAATCCTCTAGTAGTTACAGTACTTGTGTTGAACCCAGAGCTTGTGTGTGCTGGGCAAGCGTGCTGTCACAGCGTCGCACTCTTGAGCCTTTATATATTTTTTAAAGATTTATTTATTATGTATAAGTGTTAGACCTGCATGTATGCCTGCAGGCCAGAAGAGGGCACCGGATCTCATTGTAGATGGTTGTGAGCCACCATGTGGGTGCTGGGAGTTAAACTCAGGTCCTCTGGAAGAGCAGCCTGTGCTCTTATTCTCTAAGCCATCTCTCCAACCCCAAGCCTTTATAATTTTTGTTTTGAGATAAGAGCTTACTAAGTTGACCAGGATGACCTCAGACTTGTGATCTTATATCTTGCATGGATGGATAGCTGGGGTTATAGGCTTCTACCATTGGACCCCACAATTTTCTTCTTTCAATGACATTTTTATTTATTTATTTATTTATTTATTATTTTTTAAAAAATATTTATTTATTAATTATGTATTCAATATTCTGTGTATATGCCTGAAAGCCAGAAGAGGGCACCAGACCTCATTACAGATGGTTGTGAGCCACCATGTGGTTGCTGGGAATTGAACTCAGGACCTTTGGAAGGGCAGGCAATGCTCTTAACTGCTGAGCCATCTCTCCAGCCCGATATTTTTATTTTTATTTTTTTTAGGGTCTTTTAGGGCAAGTGCATACTCTGCCACTGACCTGCTGTCCCCGCCCCTCATTTATTTACTGATTTTAAATTACGTGTATGTCTGTGTGTACGTGTATGAGTGCAGATGCCCAAAGGAGGCCAGCAGATGACGTCAAGGTCCCCTGGTACCAGTCCCAGGTGGTGGCAAGCCTCCCCATCTGGGTGCTGGGGATTGAACCCGAGTCCTCTGAAAGAGCAGATGCTCTTACAGCCCTTCCAGTGCCTCGTTGTCAGTCATTTAGTCTATATAACATTTCGTCTGTTTGTGTGAGCCAGGTGCGGTGGCACACCTTCATCCCAGCCCTTGAGAAGCAGAGGCAGGCAGATCTCTTGTGAGTTTGAGGCCAGCTTGTTCTATATAGTCCTAGGACAACAGGGTTATGTAGAAAGACCCTGTCTCACGTAATCAGGTTGCTTTATATATTAGGCAGGGTGTTTAACATATTCTGGTATTTTCTTTGAATATTGGGTAACTTTGCTCACAGACCTGCTCCTTAAAGTGGTCTTTCTCCTTAGTTAAAGATATCAGTGGTGTTCAGGTGGAAGTTCCACCTCAGTCCCTTCCAGTCTCTCTCTCCAAACCCTGCCCCACCTCAGAAAACCCACCAAATGGTGGCTCTCCCCCCAGAGATGCTCAAGACCACTCCTACAGGGTATTTTAACTGCCCGCTAGAAGCCAACCATATGATTTTTCAGTCTCTTCTCCCCATCTCCTCTCTGGGGGCCAAAAAATCATCTGGGATCCTTTTACCAATAAACTAGGACTTTTACCTTTAATTCAGTTTGACTTGGATTACAGTGTTGGCGGAGAGGCTTAATATCAGGGTACAGAAACCTTCCAAGTGGTAGTGTTTGGGACATAATTTACACGCAACAGGATGCGCTCCTTTTAAGCGCATACTTCAAGGGTTACAAATGTGTCTCCCTTGCAACCACCCACAATGAAGACATAGAATCTTTCTGCCCTCAGGGCTCCCTGGGCCCGGTACATATACTGTCCCCCCAGTGCCCAGTTCAGACAACCATAGCTGTGTTTCTTAGAGCTATTTGCTGCTATTGGGTGTAACTTTAACTTTAATGCTTCGTCTTCTGGGCTGCTGTCCAGCGAGTCCCTTCTCTCAAACATAGTCCAGAGGACGAGAAAGGATTCATTTGTTACTCTTGTCTCCTGTTAGCTTCCTGCTCGTATGTTTAGTATTTAGACTCTTTTATAGATAAGGCTTTATTTTTATTGGTAGAGGAGTTGGAGAATGGACAGATGCAAAAATCAAACACCCCAACCAATAAAACAGAAAACTCAAACAAACCAACCTTCAGTTTTTGTCGTCTCGGCTTTGTGTATTTTCCAGATTGGAATCATATCAGAGGTAGGGATGGATGGTTGGGGAGATGTTACAGAGCCCGTTCTACAGATGCCTCTCTCTCTCTCTCTCTCTCTCTCTCTCTCTCTCTCTCTCTCCCTCCCTCCCTCCCTCCCTCCCTCCCCGTGTGTGTATGTGTGTGTGTGTGTGTGTGGTTTGTGTTTTGTTTGAGACAAGGTCTCACTGTGTAGCCTCGGATGGCCTGGAACTCGCTTTGTAGACCACAGAGATCTGCTTGCTTCTGCTTCCTGAGTCCTGAGATTAAAGACATGTGCCACCATGCCTGACTCCTTTTACTTATTCATTTTTAATATTTTGTTTTTACTTTATTTTAAATTTTTATTTTATTTATTTTTAATTTAATTTTTTTTTTCTGTAAAAATAAGACCTTTCAAACTAGCAGTAATTCAGAGTTCTGAGTAGCCAGATGTTGTGAGGGTCTTCCCAAAGCAGGAGGCACCGCACATGCTGGTCACAGCACAGCTGTGACTTCATAGCAGCTTTCGGGGCAGTCTCTGTGCTCATGAGACATCCCTGTACTGACAGGTCATATGTGACTTGTGATGAACCATCTGTATGTAAAATTTCAGAATGACTCTCCCAGGTATAACACTGAATGAAAAAGACACATATACAACTTGTTTCATTTTGGTTTCGTTTTTACATTTATTTACTCAGAGCATGTGCCATGATATTTCTGTGGAGGTCACAGGTCAGCTGGAGGGAGCTCCTACCATATGGATCCTGGGGGTTGAACTTAGGGCTTCAGGCTTGTTTGGATTGCCACTCTGCCGTCTTGCTAGCCCACAACTTGAATTTTTGTTTTTAAAAACAAGCTTTGGGAACTTTTTATAGAAGAAGAAAACCTTTCTGATCTACTTTTCCTCAATCTCCTCTGGCTTCTTATGGTATCAGGACCCCCTGGGCCAACAATTGCCAGCGTACACGCTCTGTAGGATTTTCCACATGGCGTGTCTGATTCATAGTACTGCGACCTTAGAGCGGAACATCGGCTTTGGCCCACACAGCACGATACTCTATTCCAGACTTCCTTGAAGCAGGGCCGTTGTTAGCAAGGACTGCCAGGGTCGCTCTGCCCTGCCTGGTAGTCTTCAGAGCCTGCTGTACCCCAGCGCACACTTTCTTCTCTGCAGAACAAGTTCTCAGAGACATTCATCTTTGCTCCCACCGTGTGTGGCTGTAGTGTAAAGAGATGGGTGGGGTCGATGTGCTCCAATAGAAGTGACTTCGGAGGCTACGGTGGAGATGCTGGACTGTGAGGAACGGGACAGATGGGGATTTGATAGTGATCCTTCAGTTCATTTCTTCTCCCGCCACCTCCTCTCTCCGAAGAGAAGATTTCTCTGTGTAGCCCTGGCTGTCCTGGAACTCACTCTGTAGGCCAGGTTGTCTTCCAACTCAGAAACTTCCCTGCCTCTGCCTCCCGAGTGCTGGAGTTAAAGATGTACACCACCACTGCCTGGCATCTTTTTCTTATTTAAAAGATTTGTTTATTTGTTTTGGCATCTGAGAGGATCTACCCCTGAGGGGATCAGCGAGGAGGGGATCTACCGTTGAGCTGTATCTCCATCTCTATTTTTTGTTTGTTTTGAGACAGAATCTCAAAGAATATCCTAGACTGGCCTGTAATTCATAGCAGTCCTCCTGACTTAGCCTCCCCACTGCTAGGATTAAAGGGGTGAGCCACCATTCCATACACTCATAGTTTGACCACTAAACAGAAAGACAGATGCGCAGGTGTTTTATTATTTTGTTACTAGCCATAAGAAGGAGAAGAGCACGGCATTGTGGTATTTGAAACAATTGCTCTAGACCAGAAGTCTCAAACTCTCTGTACGGGGCTGGAGGTGGAGGCTCTGGTGATGGCACTGTCTTTGGGAGTCTCTGAGGAAGACTCCACACCTCTGCACTGTGGCACCGAGCAGTTCTGGAGATCGTAGAGACAGGCAAGTATGGCTCAGTTGACTTCCTTTTTCTTAGCTACAAAAGCCAGTAGGAGAGCTGCAGTCTCTGGATTAGTATTGAACTCCTTCCCCTCCTACTACCCAGCCTTCTCATGTCTCCATCTGTAGTCTCCAGCACATCTTTGAGAGCCTTGGGAAGCTGGGAGGCATCCTATTCCATGGAGGACCTAGGTACTGGTCCAGATTCTATTCCTGGAATTGCGGCTCCTATCTTTATGGCTATCAACCAACAACCTACACTGTGACTACCCAGATCAGCTGGATTTTCTTAGCTTCTCATTTCTGTGTTAGCAAACTTAGGTTTGTATACTTGAAGTCCCTGATGCCAGAATTTTGTTGTTGTTATTGTTGATGAGAGTTTAGCAAAATATTTTTGGAGATCGTAACTATCTGTTTCCAGGCGATGAGTGTGTCTAGAAGGTTCTGGAAACAAAGCTGAAGGCGTGACCTTTGTTCCAGGATGACTATATGGAAGCGCTAGCCAGGCTCCACCTCACAGTGACCAGAGCCTACAAAGTGAACACTGACATTAACTTCGAGGTGTTTATTCATAAAGTGGATGGTCTGTCGGATGATCACAAAATTGAAACCCAAAGAGACATTCACCAGAGGGCCAACGATGACCTTGCAGATGCTGGCTTAGAAAAAATTCACCTGAGGTAAGAGCCGACACCTCTTAGGGTCTGGGTCCTAAGGAAGGCTGGAGCCAGTGGACTTGGGTTTCGGTCACCACAGCTGGCTGGGTGGGGACTGGCTAGGCATGGATGGCGTGGATTTACTTGTTTACCTGAAATCAAAAATGTTGTGTACTTGCTAAATGCTAGCCTTTGGCAAAAATAGTGTTTTGTTTTATTCTTGTATTCAACAAGTTGTCAAAACTAAACTTCTCACCTCATATGAAAACACAACAAAACCCATGATTCTAACCCAGGATGCTAACTGATACTCTTTTTTTTTTTTAAGATTTATTTATTTATTGTGTATACAGTATTTTCAGTAGAGGGCATCAGATCTCTTTACGGATGGTTGTGAACCACCATGTGGTTGCTGGGAATTGAACTCAGGACCTTTAGAAGAGCAGGCAATGCTCTTAACCACTGAGCCATCTCTTCAGCCCCCTAACTGATACTCAATAATAGTTACTGCTAATAGGATGGTATTTATAACCTCAAACAGATGAGGCTGAAAATCATTAGGATAGGAATTCACAGGAAAATTTCTCCCATCTCTTTTGTGTGGTAAGATAGTACATAATCATTGACTTTGGAAATTGGGGGATGAAAAAATTGGCATGTTTCAGTATCAGTGATGTAAAAGTTACTAATGAGGCAACAGGCTTGTGGGGATGAGGGCAGAGTCGCTGTATAGTGTAAGGATGTTCACACAGGACAGCCAAACTCCCAAGCTTGCCAGTCAGAGCAGACTGAGCCTGGCTCTAGCACTAGGGAGGGATAGAAGCTGCCTGCTAGGACATACTTGGTTTTGACCAATTCATTATGAATTCTGAAGGGGGCTGGTGCTTGTATGTTAAAATTGTACATAAGATCACCGGCATTAGTGACAGAGCCTAAAACAACCGCTCAGTCACGGGGAACCTGATGAAATACCACCTTCTCTTTCAGCTTTTATCTGACAAGCATTTATGACCATTCAATATTTGAAGCCTTCAGTAAAGTGGTTCAGAAACTGATCCCACAGCTCCCGACGCTGGAGAACCTGCTGAATATCTTTATCTCAGTAAGTAGATGGTTTGCTCCTGCTCAAGTCGTTTGCAGAATCTGAGAGCAACGCGGCAAGAGTGAAAAGTTGTAATACTTGCCTGCATCTCAGGCATTTCAGCATCCCTCTTGAAGGTTATTTCTACGTTTTGTTTTAGAGCCTTTGAACTCTGGCAATGTGTGTTTCCCTGGTGTGCTTGGATTGCTTATTCAAGCGAGAGGCAATCATTAGTATTAATGGAGTCTTACCTTGGACATGGAGCAGAAAGCCTGGTTTGGGGGCCAGCAAGTTTGCCAAGCCTTACCACCGGCATCCAGTCCAGACCACACGATACAAGGAGAGAACTAATTCCTTCCCAAAAGTTGTCCTCTGACCTCCGCATTTGTGCTGTTGCAAGTCCTAACCATCCTTGAAACAAAAATACATGAATATAAGGAAATTCAACATTGTCTGCTGAGCCTGACGAGTCCTACAAAGGCCAGACCAAGAGTTAGGAAACACTGCCCAAATGGTTTACCAAAGATAAATAACTTGGACTAACTCTGCCTTTCATGTGTTCTTTCAAATCCATCATAAAATGTATGACAGTCAAGTTAAAATTGCAATAAAATGGTACAATAGGAGTTCCTGATAATTTTGGCTTATATATATATATATATATATATATATATTGCATTGGTGAAGACATATAATTTTTTAAATCTTGAAAGAAATCACTTTATTCTAAGATTGTTGTCTGTTGACTGTACACAGTAGAAGGCTTCACTGTGACAGTTTCGTGGAGGCTTATGTTGTTATTAAGTGCACCCCACCCTCCATGCTGCTGTTCCTTCCCCTCCATGCCCCCTTCCCTAATTAGTGCAGTGGAATATCATTTTTCATATAACCACGAAGTGGTCGGAACTTGCTGTTACTTTAAGGCATGTCTTTCCCCCACCCTGTCAGAATTCCGGAATTGAAAAGGCATTTCTGTTTGATGTGGTCAGTAAGATTTATATTGCAACTGACAGTACTCCAGTGGACATGCAGACTTACGAGCTGTGCTGCGATATGATCGATGTGGTGATCGACATCTCTTGTATTTATGGGTAAGCAAAGCATTATTTTCTGTTGTAATTAGAACAAGTCCCCTGTCTCCCCCCCCCCCGACAGTGTATTCTGATTATGCTTTCCCCTTTCCCAAATAAAACATTATTAAAGGCCATAACTGTGCTGTCCTTCCCAGGACTGGAGGTGTGGCTTAGTTATAAAGCAAGTCCTGAGATCAGTCCTCAGTGGTGTAGAAACAGGGAAGAGAGGAGGGGATGGAGGATGCGGGAGGGGCCGGAGGACTGTCTCTTCATAGCTTCCAGGCATCTTTGCATTTATTCACTTGACTTTTGTATTTCTGTTTTCAATGACTGGGATCTATAAATGGATCATTTAACATGCCAATAATAGCGGGCAATTGTTGGTTACCTTCCTATTATGGTGAAAACTTTGTTACATATATCATCTATAGTGGTCTGTTGTTTGTTTTAATAAATAGAGCTTGCCTGAAGATCAGAGTGCAAAGCATTCACATTGTCAGCCACACAGGCCAGGGAGTGGTGGCACACACCTTTAATCCTAAGATTTGGGAAACAGAGTTGGCAGGATCTCTGTGAATTCAAGGCCACCCTGGGCTACCCAAGATTGAATCAGTCGAAAAGAGAAACAGAGCTCACACAAAGGTGATTGCAGCCCTTGGGAGACAGGAGCAATGTGGCTGGTGGAGAGGAATATAAGGGACAGGAACTCATTGGAGTGTGGGGTGTGGAGTCTTCAGGATTTGTGGAGACAGGATCTCACCCATTTTCGGTCTGAGGTAGAAGTAAGAGCCAGTGGCTGGCTGCTTTGCTTTTCTGATCTCCAGGTTGAACCCCAATATCTGTCTCTGGGTTTTTATTATTCATGCTACAATCATCTAATTTAGTTGTCAGTTGTTCCATGAGTTAGGGATTACTGTTATGATCTGTCCTGTCCCTTTAAGAGACAAACCACTTTTCAGCTTCCAGCCTGAGTCCTTTCCTTTTCTGTCTCCCTCTCTCCCCTTCCCCTCTTCTGTTTCTCTCTCCCCCTCCGTCCCTCCCTCCCTCCCTCCCTCCGTCCCTCCCTCCCTCCCTCCCTCCCTCCCTTCCTCTTTGCTCTTCTCCCTGTCTTCCCTTCTCTTCCATAACCCACTAAATAAATATCCAACCTCACCCTGCATGGCGTGCCTATCCATGTCTCTGTCCCTCACCCACTGCATGCCTCCCTGCCTGGGACTTGTGGCCGGCTGCACCCACTCAGGGAACTGTGCCATGCATGCCTGGGACTGACTGCTCTCGGGACCACTGCCCACTGCTGCTGTTTGGTGACCTGCAGCATTTCTGCCACTGCTGCCACTCGGAAATCTGCAGCGTTTTACTTGATCCATTACAATTACTATACTTGGTTTTCAGACACAGAAATGGACACAGAACGGTGGCTTTTCCAGCAGCCATTCTTTCTGTCAGCAAGAAAGATGAGACTTTGAACCTGGTCTAAACGACCATGGTCAGATGCTGAGAAACCTGCACACACAGTGCGCCCCATGGGGTAAAAATAGACCCCCAAGCATGGAGACCATTTCTATTACCGTGTTTGGTACAGAAAATCAAATTAAATTTGATTTTAATTGTCTAGGTAGCAGAGACTTATAATACCAGGCAAATGGCATCTGCTAATTTTTATTATGACCTTAACAATTCACAGAAACCAAAACTTCCTAAAATAATATTAGAGAGTGGAGAAAGTTGTATTTTTTTGTTTTTTGTTTTTCAAGACAAGGTTTCTTTATGAAACAGTCCTGGCTGTCCTGGAACTCAGTCTGTAGACCAGGCTGGCCTCAAACTCACAGAGATCCACCTGCCTCTGCCTCCTGAGTGCTGAGGCATGTGCCACCACTCCTTGCCCCCCTTTTTTGGGTTGGAGAGTTGTATAACTAGAGATAGAAGCAGTCTCCATGCTTGGCAGTACGCTGAGCAAGTTTGCACAGTTGGAGTGTGAGCGAGGCATTATCTGATGTCACACGTAGCTGGCCGTTCTCTTAGACCATGCATTTTCACCCGCTCTCTCTGCCTCACACTCCCTGACATTCAGCCTGCTCCGTCAGCTTCTGGAAGTTTCAAGCTTAGCTGTTTCTGTCTTCCATTATCTGAAAATTCTTTGCCCATCCTGTGTGATTTTCTGTTATCTCTGTTATCTATACGTTTATGTACATGCAAACACATGTGTGCACATAACATGCTTACTCCTAAGGCTGTGGTAAGAACGAAAACACTGTTACTAGGGTCATAATGCTCCTGCCTTGATGGGGCCTAGATAAGTTGTACTTGTCATAATTTATTATTGTCATCAGGCATGCACATATGGCTTTACTGGTAGACCTTCCTTGTGATTGTGACCCTGTGATAGTCTGTTATTTCTAAGATGTAAGGGGATGACCCTGAATTAGGCCTGGAAGCTGAGTGAGGCTGGTTACAGTCTCAGCTGCTATGGTAATCCGGTACAGTGAACAGCACAAATATCTGGCCCCATAGTTAATGATATACATGTTCATTATTGTGCCGTGTGGCAGTTAGGCAGAAATGGTTAGTTTGGGTAAATGATGTTAATCAGAGGTACTTGCACCAGCTGACGCAAACAGGAGAGGCAGTTGGACTCCGTCAGAGATGACTTTTCTGGTGTGGAGTGCTGGGGTTCTGAGACCCCACGGACTCTGTAAGAACGGGTTTGGAGCACAGTGGTTTGTGGGCTCCAGAGTTTCCTCCGCTTGCTAGCTTTACTTCAGCTTCACTCAAACTAGAGTTAACAGGGAGGACGGAGCCTCAGTTTAGAAAATACCCCTATAAGATGTGCTGTAGGCATGCCTGAAGGGCTTAATTTTCTTAATTAGTAATTGATGTGCGAGGGCTCAGTTCATTATGGGTGTGGCCACCTTGGGCTGGTGGTCCTGGGTTCGAAGGAAAGCAGGCTGAGCAATCCAGTAAGCGGCTCCCCTCCATGGCCTCTGCATCAGCTCCTGTCTCCAGGTTCCCGTCCTGTTTGAGTTCCGGTCCTGACTTCTTTCGATAATGATCAATGATATGGAAGTGCAAGCAGAATAAACCCTTTCCTCCCCAAGGTCATGGTCATAGCCACCCTGAGACACTAACCTACCCGAACAGCCGTGAGCCTGCTCAGTAACCAGCAAGGTGGGAGCTGGAATGTGGGTGGAGACTAGGGTCCTAGCAGGCAGCTCAGGAAGCAGGTGGCCTCGGACAGTAAGTCTTCCTGCCGTTCTCAGCTGCCTACTGGAGACCAGGTGAGTTAAGAAGAGTGTGTTGGGTCCTTTGGAACTGGTGACTGCACCGTAGACTGTATGTCCTTGGTGGGGATTTACCGCTTTTAACCACGTTGACACATTTGCTCTTATTTTCCTGATACACAGCTAGCATTTGTGTTTTAGCAGGACTGTTTGGAAATTGGTTGCAGATCTATCGATTCTTTGTATTTCCTGAGAATAAGGACACCTTGTTGCAGGGCAGTGAAATCCAGCATGTCTAGCCTGCTCTGTTACCTACCGTGTAGTCAGATTTGACCAGTCCTCCTCCGGCACTGCCTTTCCTTCTGTGGAGTTGTGGAGCTGGGGGAGGGACCCTAGGGCTTCACCTTGCTAGAGAAGGGTGCTACCACTGACCTACATCCCCAGCTTCTTGTTTTTTTTTTTTTTTTTTTTCCTTTTCAAGACAGGGTTTCCTGTGTAGCCCTGACTGCCTCAGAACTCACTTATATAGACCAGGTTGACCTTGAACTCACCGAGATCCCCCCCCTGCTTCTGTCTCCCAAGTGCTGGGATTGAAGGCGTGCGCCACCACCACCCTGCTTATCCACAGCCTCTTAATCGGGTTTTCTAGCAGTCTTTCTTCTGGCTCAAGTCAAGCCCAAGCATTTGTTGGTCCGGTCTGTGTGAACTCTCTTTGGAAGTCTTTCCCTTACTTTTGGCAGCCTAACTGTTCCTTTGTATAAAAACAAGATGCCTTTGGCCACAGAGGCATGAGGGCTCGCCCCCACTTCCACTCACGTTCCTCAGGCACCTCGAGAGTTGCCAGCTTCCGCAGCACCCACTCACTGTGTTGGTAAAAGGGTGACTATCAGGGCCACCACACCTCCAGTGCCTGTGTGATCTTTTCCCCAAAGGCATTCCACGCATAAACAGTCTGTTAGGATGATAATTTTCTGTGTGCTGAGGTGGGGGTCTCTTGCTGGGTTGCAGTTTGTAGTTCTTTCTTGAAGGTCAAATGCATTTTGGTTTCTGTCTCCATTTAGTCTCAAAGAAGATGGAGCAGGAGCCCCGTATGACAAGGAGTCCACAGCCATTATAAAGCTGAATAACACAACGGTTCTTTATTTAAAAGAGGTCACAAAGTTCTTGGCGCTCGTTTGCTTTGTCAGAGAGGAAAGCTTTGAAAGAAAAGGTAATTTTTGGTGTGATTTGAAAGAACTGCCTCAGTCCACGCTGCCTCTGTCGCCTGTTGAATGTGCGTAGACACGGCATGCCCGCCAAGCCTCTAGACTCTGCTCACTGGGCCCTGGATTAGCAGGCGTGAGTGCACATCTGGACCTGCCTGGCCCCGGTGTGCAGCCATGATTGGGATGACGTGGAAGGAGAACCAGAATCTTCCACGGGGCCTTGGCTTTCACTTTGCCAGGCTCTAACACCAGGAAAGGGTTTCTTAGCCTGTGTAGCAGGTGGGGGCCTGTCCCTGGGCCACAGTGTAGGTGTTTGGTGACCCTTGTAACCATTGTTCTCCCGATTACAGAGGCCCTAGAGGTAACTGGCATTTGTCTTTTGCTTAGCATTCATGCACTCTCTTCAAATAGCAGGGATGGAGTCATGATCCACACAGTGAAGGAATGACTGATACTATAAAATGTCTTTAAAGGTCAAATTCAGAGCAAAAAAAAAAAAGAAAAAATATCGGTTAATTGCTTTTACTTGAAACATACATACCCATCACCAACAATTGAATCTGATCTTTTGTTGCTGTTTGTTTTTTCGAGACAGGGTTTCTCTAGCTTTGGAGCCTGTCTTAGAACTAGCTCTTGTAGACCAGGTTGGCCTCGAACTCACAGAGATCTGACTGCCTCTGCCTTCTGAGTGCTGGGATTAAAGGCGTGCGCCACCACCACCCAGCCTTTATTTTTTAAATGATGCCAGTGTGGCTAGGGCTGTTTATTGGTAGCTAGGGCGTAGTTTACCACTGTGAACAGTGCTGTGGGCGGCTCAGAGCTTGTCCATCTGCTCAGAGACATGGACTGGCTCCCCTGTGCCACAGAGAGCTAAGCAAAGGCGAGCCAGCGAGGCACAGCAGTGATAGCTGCGGTAGCGACTTCTACTGTCCAGTGACCAGTGGATGCTCATGATCAGCTTGTTCTAAAATGAGGAACTCATAAAGAACAAAGTGAAGCTTTACATCTGAGCTAAGTCGTGTCCATTTCTGAGAGTTTTTTTTTTTCTTGCCCTCTTCCTGTCTCTTTATCCCTTTATTCTCAACAAGACTGGCTGCACGGTTGGTATGGTTTCATAGCGGTTTTGTTGGTTTTTAGCCCACTTTTCCCACATTTAGTTTCACTGTAACAAAGCCAATTTGTATTCTCTCTCCTCCCCCTCTCTCTAGGATATATGCATGCACTGTATGTGGTGTATCTGTGTGATATATGTAGTATATGCCTATGTTGTTTGTTGTGTATTAGTGTGTTGTATGTGATGTATTCTTATGTTATATATGTGTGTATATATAGTATATACTTGCACATATACGTATATGCATATACTATGTATAATAAATATTCTGTAGTATATATAGTGTTCATATATATAGTATATATGGGTATTATATGTAATGTATTCATATGTTATATGTGGTATATGCATGTGTTGTATTAGTATGTTGTACGTGGTATTTGCATATGTTAGGTGTTATGTGCATGTGTAGTATATGGTATCTTTATGTACATACATATGTGTGGATGCATAAGAGCAGACAGAGACCAAGTGTTTTCCTCTGTCACTCTGCTTTATTTTCTTGAGACAGAGTTCCTCGCTGAAACTGGAGCTCACCATTTTTGGTTAGACTGGCTGACCATCATGCCCAGGGGTGTCCTGTGAGCACTTACTCCCAGCCCCCGCTCCACCAACTCCCTGGTTAATATGCCCAGTTCTATCAATTGTTCATATCAATGTTGAATTTTACTGTTTTAGGAAGTTGTTTTTCATTTAAATTCATATTTTCAGCCCTGAGGCTGCTCGTCTTCCAATGACTAACCAAACTTACTTTTGTATCATTTGTCCTTGAAAGTTAAGAGTGTTCATTTTTTTGTTCCTTATCTCCATCTGCTAGAAGAAATAACAGATTATCTATTAGATTATAGGCTTCCCATGGGAAGATGGGCAGCGGGATTGGGTCAGTACACAGTGGTAGAGGCTCGCCTCTCGTGCATGATGCCGTAGGTTCAATCCCAGTCCTGAGCATCCCCTGTCAACAGATGAAGACAGACAACGCTGTGCTTTGTTCTTCTCACTTGCTACATAGATGATTTTACTCAGACACAAAAGCTGTAAGTGGCTTTGTTGCAAGCTGATAGCGCCAGCTGTGTCAGCTAAAGATGGCCAGCTAGGGAGCAGGAGAGGTGGTCCCGCCTCAGGGTGAGCCCACCAATTGGTTGTCCAGTGCCAAATGATCAGCCCAGAAAATAAGCATGCAGGTGGCAGTCTAGGGAGTGAGCAGAGCAGGCTATGTTTGGGAACATAAACGAATACTCCTTTTCCATGGAGTAACATGGAAAAGGTGGCCATGAATTTTAAGGGGAGCAAGGAGGGAGGAAAGGGATGGGAGAAATGTAACTAAACTGTAATCTCAGAAAAAGCTGGTGAGCTAGGCTCTCGGAGGTGTAGAGCTAGGTGTGTGCGCACACACAGACCTTCACATTCTAAATCTTGTCCCACATTTACTGTTGGTTGGTCTTTCCTGTGCATTTTGGAAGCTGAGGAAAACAGGACCCGCATCAATGTTTAACTGCAGCTGGCAGCGGGTTCTAAAGCCTAGGAACATTTGAGCTAGGCTGGAGAACTCGTTTATTGTGAACTAATTTTTGTGATTAATTGAAAAGTTGCAAAAATAGTAAATAATCTCCAGGTCCTCATCTGGCCCCCTTTGACAACATTTGACCTGGGAATTGCCAGTTTCTAGTTGGGATGAACTTGTGCGCACCGGCGAGAGTCCCAGGCAGACACGCCGCCATGCCCTTCCTGCTCAGACGGTTATTGCCTCTTGTCTGTCTGCTCCCGGGGACCTCTACTAATGTCGTGTCGGGGTCCCCACTACAAAGTTTCTAAAGGTAAATCCTGCACAAATCCAGTTGCTCCTTTAGCCTTCACCGTTACTTTTAATATTTGATGTGTGAAACTAAGTTTAAGTAGAAACTGGTCATATAGATCTTTGAATTATTATGAAGCCATAATGTCTGATGATGGGCAGGTTTGTAGGATATAGTAAACTAACTAGAAACCTAGTTGCTGAGTTTAATTTAATGCTATAACTAAGGAACTAACGAGTGTGGGGTGATGGGCACATTTAAAGTGTCATCATCTGCTTTTTTGTTTTTTAATTGTTGTTTTGTTTTGTTTCCCCCAAGAGAGGGTTTCTCTGTGTAACGGCTGTCTGGGAACTCACTCTTGATGAAGTAGATCCATTTGTGTCTGTCTTCCCAGTGCTGGGATTAAACGCGTGCACCACCAATACCTGGCCCTTCAGCTCATATTGAATGTGCATGTATTGTGTGTATGCATGTGTGCTTGGTGGTGTCGTTCCGTATTGTTTGTCTCAAAAGTAACTCATCCCTACCTAATTATTTAGTTATTTTCTCACTATGTAACCCTGGCTGGCCTTGAACTCATAGACAGGTTCTGGGGAATTTAGGTTGTCAGGCTTGTGAAGCCAGCCCTATCTGAAAATAAGAAAAAAAAAAGTGTCTATTGCTGTTATTGTGTGTGCGGAGTTGGTTCTCCCCTTCCGCCTTCATTTGTGTTTGGGGGTGAAATTTAGATCCGTCAGGCTTGCATAGCAAACACACCTGCTGAGTCATCTTGACAGCCTTGATTTATCTTAATTACCAATTAGTCTTTAATGTGAATGATTAAAAGAAGTTAGTGCAGTTCAGTGTTTTTTGTTTTTTTTTTTTTTTTTTTTACATCTTTGAGGGCTCGGACACCTTTGGAAATGTATGGAAAACTCTCAGAAGCTTCTGGAATAGTCTTCAGGAAACACCCACCTCTCGTGACCACCTGCCACGCTGGACCTGTTCCACGATTGTGCCTCTGCTGCCCTCTGCTGGCGGTGGATGCTGCGAGTGACAGGTTGTTCCTCGTGCCAGCCATTTAAAGTGCCATTTTGTCTTCTCCTGCAGGTCTTATTGACTATAATTTTCACTGCTTCCGGAAGGCCATCCATGAGGTGTTCGAGGTGAGAATGAAGATGGTGAAATCTCGAAAAGCCCAGAGTCGCTTACGGAAGAAGAAAGGAGCTACTCCTAACGGGACTCCTCGCGTGCTGCTGTAGGGGGGCTGTCAGGAGCCTGAGCCCACGCGTGTGATGGGGGTGCTGAGCCACACTGCCCCTCGGGAAGGAGAAGCCTGCGACACTGACGTAGATTTGTTCAAGACAAAAGAAAGTACTCCCTTTTTAAAATAAAATGAGCACTTCGAAGCAAAAACCTGTACAGTAACAATAAAGTGAGCCCACTCTACTTTCGCTGCGAAAATGTAAGCTTCCGTGTTGGTAACCAGAAAACCCCGTGAGAACTGCCAGGAACTGTACATATTTTGCACTTTTTCACATTTTTTTCTCTGGAGATGAACTTTGATAAGGACTTTTCTAAACTCTTTTCTGTACTTGATGTCAAGGGCGTGCATACTATGGTCCATATGGCCATTGAAAATTCATCCAAAGTAATACATCGGTAAAGACTTTTTGTAAATTGGGGAACCTTTGCTACCAGTTGTTAAGGGGGGGGGGGAATCATTTTTCAGTGGAGCAGGGGTAGGTCCGGGCTGGGAGCTCCAGGCAAGAACAGTAAGAACTTGTGTTCGTAATGAGTGTAAATGGGAATTTTCTGGAAGAATATCAGTACCAGGCTTCCATCCAAGTCTTCATCCCAATGGACATGCCTTTCTGCTCACCCAGTCTTTGTGAAACTCCCTCGGCACACGTCTTTGTAGTCGGTGTGTTCAAGTGTGTGACTTCTTTTGCTGCATTATTCTAGTGAACCTTAGGGACCAGATTTCTAAAACGATGCCAGTTAGTATAAAGATATGTGAATGTTGTTTGAGGAGATGGGGGAAATAGCATGGATTTGTTGGGGGGAATGTTCTGGGGGTACTTCTGTACCTGCCAAGGAGGTAAAATAACAGAGGCTGAGAGGGTTCCCAGAGAGTCCCAGTGGCAGGTGGCCTCTCAGACTAGATACCTGTGTGTGCCTGTGTGTGTACCTGTGTGTGTACCTGTGTGTGTACCTTTGTGTGTACCTGTGTGTGTCTGGCTCCTGTGAATGGCCTCTTGTTGTGCTATGTTTAAAGTCTTTGTTCAGGACCAGTTTTCAGTGCCCCATGGCCACAGGCATGAAGCAGGTCTTTTGTCTTCACTATGGAGTTTAGTCCTTGGTGGCTTCATTTGGTACCCAAATCACCCGCCCATCTGTGACAGTTTGCCTTGTGTCCTCCCCCCGTGCCTACCAAGTTCAGCTTGCTACCAGCTTGCTCTGTGAGAGAATTCTGACTCGGGAAAGCTTGTGGCCTATGAGGAAAGGTCTGCCTAAAGAGGTCTAAGTTAGCCATGGGTTTGTTTTTCTAGATGAGCAGGGAATTGAATTCCTAAATCTAGGCCTATACCAAGCCATTCCAAAGGTTAGCACTGTCAGGCATGTATGACCCTAGAAAAGATTCCTAGGGACATCAGAGCTGCTCTTGCAAAAATACATGAAGTGTTGAAAGCAGCTTGTCCCTGAAGCCTGCTTCTCTAAGTTTCTTCTTTCTATCGTCTTCCTTTCCCTTCCCCAAGTCTTATACTTGCTTTCTTGCTTGTTTATTGTTTGTGTGTGGTTTGGCTGTCCTGGAACTCACTATGTCGACCAGGCTAATCTTGATGTCACTGATCCATGTGACTCTGCTTCCCGAGTGCTGGGGTCAAAGGTGGGCACCACCTTGCTGGGAGAGGTCTTCTGAAGCTGCTAATGATTGATGGATGTCTGATGTTGCGAGCTGAGCCTCCAATAGTGTGTGCAGTCCTTACAGCATTGTGGCTCCTTCCTTCTGATCCCTGGACAGAGACCACAAAGGTTAGGTGCCTGGAACCCCAGAGAAGTTTCCATTTCCTTAATTTTCAGAGCTGTTCCCTGATGGGCCTTGGCCAACAGGTTGGATGGAGGTTGGCTACCCTGAAGAATCTAATCTCCCCAACATACATACACACACACACACACACACACTAGAGAGAGAGAAAGAGAGAGAGGATGCTGTTTGTTTGCTTTTTTGAGGTGGGGTTTGAGATGGCCCAGGCTGCTCTCAAACTTGCTATGTAGCCCAGGGATATCTCCCACTTCTGCTCCCTCTGCCTTCACTCCCCCGAAGTGCTGGGATGGTAGCCGTGCACCAGCAAGCTTGGCTCGCACAGTGCTGAGGATTGAGCCCAGGGCTCTCTGCACATTGGGCAGGTTCTCTATTAAGCTTGTATCCCGGTTCCTTTTCTTAATAGTTTTTACAAAGTATTTCTCACTGAACAGAGAATTGCATTTTTAATACGACTTTATTTTCTAGGTAAGACATCTGCCTGTCTGGTAAACCACATAAAATTCTCATGTAGAAGTGGAGCTTCTGTTTTGAAGCTGGTTATATGATGGGTTTTTGTTCAATTGTGCCTTAAAAGCCTATCACTTCAAGGGCGTGTGATCGATCCTGGGGCATAGGGCCCGCGTTCCTGATCACAAATGCACTCTTGTTGCTCATGCTGATGCGGATGGATTGCTGATGCGGATCGATTACCGCCTCCAGCCTCGTGTGACAATGACTCCTAAAGATGCAGGAGTTACCGCTGAGTGGTGAGGTTTTCGAGTCTGTGACTGGGATGATTGCAGATCTTCACATTTGTTTCATAGTTTATCTTAGATTTGGGAGTTAGCCTAAGGCACTGTGTAGATCTGTGTTTATGCTTAAGTGCGACTATACCCAGAAAGGTCAAACTCCTGCCTATGGTGGCCACACCAGGACAGTTTTGTTTGGTTTTAGGAGTTGCGAACATGAAGCTTTGTAGAACAGGCTTTTGCTTTTTGAGTCAAGTGGTCAGACTGACTCGCCGTCTTAGCCAGGTTTTAGTTGTGGAGATCAGTGTGAGTGACCAGGATAGAGTGCTTTCAAAGGAGTAGAAGTAAAAGCTGATTAACATTTACCAAGGGTTATTTTGTGAACATTATATATTTTGGATCCTTAAATAAGAAATGACTAAAAATCACAGCAATACTGTTAATGTATGGGTTATATACCAACTATCTGAAACGGAATTTATTAAAACAATGGCGCTGTTGTGCGATTAAAGTTCAGTATGCACTCAACAAACAGACTGGGTGTAGTTTGTAACCGAGCACACTGTTTTACTGTTGATAGTACGTCATTTGTAACTGCTGTAGGCCAGCCTGGTCTACCAAGTGAGTTCCAGGACAGGCTCCAAAGCTACATAGAGAAACCCTGTCTTGAAAAAATAAAAACAAAAAATAAAAGAAAAAAAGATTATTTAACTCACGTTCTAAGGAATCTGATGCTCTCTTTGGCTTCCATAAACACTGCATGCACATGGTACATGTACCTATGTGCAGAAATTAAAAAACTATATTATTTAAAGCACTATTTAATGTACAATGCTGCACGTGTAAATGATATAAAGTCCATTTAAATTATCTGTATATTTAAATCTTTGCATTCATATCACAAATTATATAAAATGTTGGTTAGGTGAATTGTCTTCCTTCCACAATTCTGTTCAGCTCTTCACCGCTCCTTCTCATTCCTTCCTCGTCGTCAGAATGTACTGGATGACTTAACAGCCTTCGTGGTGTTTCAGACCGAACACACCTCAAATGTAGTGCATTACTGTCAGTGGAGGCTTTACTGGATTGCAGACCAATTTGCTTGTTTAAGACAGGTCTTCTGGAGCTTGCGGTCTTGCCCTCAGCCTCCCAGAGCGCTGGAATTACAGCTCTGTATGATCTGTAATTTCTTTTGGTTTTTCCTAGTGCTGGGATCTACATCAGGCGCTGCTGCACGTCGAGTGCTCTATCATTAAGGCACCCTCGGGCCAGGGGGCTGTTTCGCTCTGCATACTAGTAATCACCACAAATAAGTACTTCCATTTTCTTCCTTTCTTTTCTTTTTTCTTTTCTTTCTTCTTTCCTTCCTCCCTCCCTTCCTTTCTCTTTTCTTCTTTCTTTCTTTCTTTCTTTCTTTCTTTCTTTCTTTCTTTCTTTCTTTCTTTCTTT